TGCAAACTTTTTGCAGTAGTAAAAATAATCTACATCGCATTTATATGCAATGTACAAAAATCACTAATGATCATAAAAAAAAAAATAATTAATTCTATTATTAGTATATTCAAAATATACACAAATATTCAAATGCAACCAACTCATATTAAATAATATCTACTTTGATGAAAAATGCGATGATTTTAATGAGTCTTAATTTTAATATGTATGTACTTATCTGGTTAAAATCAGACATTTTTCTTAATAATATCATAAAATAATATTAAGACCTTTCTATTTATTTCTCATCGCTTTATTTTTGAGATAAATATTAAAGCTATCGCCTCTGTGGTAACTGACTATTCCGCTATTGATGTGCATTGCTAAGTACGCAAGCAAATTCTTTTAAGTTGATCGGCGATAAGAATACAAATGTTCAGAAGACTCTAGAAAGGACGAACAATGATCATAAAAATAAATAAATAAACGGTCGTACAAAAACCCTAAGTGAATTATTACAGTTCTTACAAAAACCGATTCAAAAAGAATGGCTGTGGTGGTGTAGTGGAGGTGTCCACTAGTAGTCTCAAATTTGCATACACAATGACACAAACCGGCTACCGGATCTCAGTTGCTACAACAGAATCGAGCGTGAGTTTCTACTAACTGTAGTAACATAAGTAGCAGCGGCGTTGTATACATCTACTCAGCTGCATTACATAATAGTAAAACAGACAATCTTTTATAAAAAATCATACCTAGGATGGAAAATATTTCACGTCTATTGTAATACCGTTCATTTTACTTGAATTATAATATGTTACATGGCATATGTATCACAGTATACAATATTATTAACGATATCAGTCGATGACTTATTTTTAAGTATATTCTAAATTATGTTGCATACACGCATTATTTAAGTTAGTCAATGAAAAACCGGTAGAACCTAAGAGATAGAATCTACCATCTGGATGGGTTAGATTAAAACATAGATTTTACTTGTTAACGTTTAATATAAATGGAATTGGTGATTTCAAAAATATCACGAATTTTTTTTGGACAATCGATGAAAATTGCATGGTTTAACTTTAAAAATTGACATATAATCAAGTCGTGCCATCAACTAGTTAAAAATTTAATAAAAGTAAAATTAATTAACCTCTAGTTAGTAGCTGGCAGTTTTGTGACGTTTTTACATTCAACATACAAAAATTAAACATTAATTATTTTAATGCATAGAAAACACTCTACTAAATATTTTGACTTAAAACTAAATAAAATAATTGATATATATTTTTTTTAAATGAATACGTTTAACTGTTAACAAGTATAACTTAATATACACTTCTACCAATTAATTAATTTAGCAAATGTACTGTTAAAAAACTACAAATAAAATATGTGTAATTACTTTAATAATAATTACCTATTAAAATAAATAATATACGTATTTTCAACATTGAATTTATAACTTCTATAGGTAGAATATCAAAAGATATTTTTTTTTTATAAACATTTTTTTTAAAAAAAAGTATTTAATTAGTAAAAAAATTTAGTTTTTAATAAAATAACTATTTTTTAATGGCTAAAATATTATCACTGTCATTTCTTAACCAGAGAATCATCAAATTCATTTTTTCAACATTTTTCTCAACTACTAATTACATTATTATCATGATATAATACTAGCTCGATCTAGCGGCCAACAAGTTAACGGAATTTAATTTATACTTTTTAGGATAGATGCTCTTCTCCATATACAATACTAAATTTGGATTGATATGAAACATATTTTAAAGATAATATCAAAAACTTAATACTATAACAAGAAAACAGGTCGTTTTCAGTCATAGTTAAATGCTTTACTTTAAAAAGCTAATCGTATAAATTAGAAAAATATTTTAGTAATTATGGATTAAAATTTTAAGACAAATTTATGATATATGACATTGATGTAACAATTTAAACATTAACTTTATGTTTTAAATTCAAAAACAATATCAATCATATAAAGATGAAGTATGGGTATTTGTAAACAATTGAGATAATTGTAAATGGGATTATATTTTATAAATGTATAAGTTTTTATTTCAAACTTGCATTTAATATCAGAACTAGAACTTTCCAATCGAATAATAATAGCAAAAACTGTTAAATATACTAAGAACAATAATACATTTTCCAATAACCCGGTTCTTCCTAATACAAAAAACTTTCAAGCCATAATTGACCATAAGATAACTTCACATTACACAAAAAAAAGTAATAGTTCAAGATAAACAAGAACAAAAAAATTAATTTAAAACTAGTTGATCGTTTTATCAAATTTTTTTAAAAATTAGATAACAGTAAAATTTTTAATATTTTAATTGCCTTACAATTTAAAACATATAGAACAGACTCATAAGGGATATAAAATGGACATATTATTTTAAATTTAAAAAAAATTAATTTTAACTTTATAGATTCTTTTTTATTCTGGCTAAACTGCAATATTTTCATGTTTACATTGTCAATTTTATGTGAACACACGTTTTTATATTTTCGAAGAAATATAAAATATATTTTTAATAGTATGAGCACAATATTGTTATTCTTTTATAAATTTGGATTAATCAGTTTCAATCTAAAAATCAAAAATTTTGTTTTGAGAAACGATTTGAGAAAAATACTTTTTTATTCATTTATAACTAATAAGACATAATAATATTAAAAAGATGATTAACATAGTACAAACAAAATGATTTCAAAATTATATAAAATAAACATCCATTGTTTTGAAAAATTAGTCAATAGAAAATATGAAAAATTTTAAGAAAAGTCTAATCTCTTATTTCTATATTTATATCCTAATATAAGTTTTATGATTTAGAAGTATAATATATGAACAAATATTTATTATAGCAATCAAATATAGTAAATTAATTATTTCAGTATCATGTTGAAACTAATACATTTTTTTTTTTTATATTTTACAAATTAAAGCTAACAATATTTGTAAATTATTATTTAATTAACTATTTATTATAAACTCTATAGCATTTATAATCAATGACTTAACTACAGAAATTTTAATTTAGGTAAATAAACTATTCCTCAGTAACTAAAAAAAAAAAATTATAGCTTTGTAACATACAGTTGAGCTTCTCAACTTAAGTAAAACTGTAAAGTTAACCTAAACTTACTTTTATTTCATAATATATCGTCAATCATGAAAGAAATTCTAGATGAAAAAAAAAAAAGATACAGCTTTTAGATATTCATAAATATTATAATTTTATTTTATTATTTTTTTAAAATTTTCATCCACAAAAATATATAATAAATCAATCACTTAAGATATCTTAGCATTTTAATTTAATATTATTTTTTTAATCTGTTTATGAAAAAAAATTACTTTTAGTCAAATTGGAAGTATTTTCTTACGAACAATAACAGTGTTTTATTTTAACATATTACAATATAACTTTTACTTTTACTGTTTACCTTTTAAGATTTTTGCATTACATTCTATGTAAGAATAGAATGTATCTAGCAGTATGTTATAAAAATATATTAAATCTGCATTTGTAGCTTTTAATTTAGTTATGTTACATGTTCTAATATTATAAAACAGTTTTTTTAAAATTGTAGTGTCTATCATCTTTACCAAAAATGTACAGCCTTTAAAACGCTTTAAAAAACCTATGCTAAGTTTAATGAATTTTTGTTTATCTGCTTCCAGTTTTGGTGATTGGTTATATGCATTAAAAATTAAAATTATCTGATCGATCGGTTCTCTACGTAAACGATAATCTCGAAATTTTTCTGATAGAAAATTGAAAAATGTTGAGGCCTCATTAAAATGATGACTAAACTTATCGTGTTCTTTTGGTATGCGATCTATCGTATATGCTGTAAATACACAATATTGAACTAACATTGTAATTCCCATGCTTTCAATTACATTTCTAAGCCAAACTATGGCTTCCATTGGATCATTAAATTCTTGTATAGCATGTTCCGTAATTTGTTGTAAGGTTCTTCCAACAACAGGCGTACGGTAAAATAAACGAGGAGCTGAACCTAAATATTCTTCATCCAAAGGTACAGGTTTGTCAATGTCGTCATTTAGATAGATTTCTTTGGAGTTTTTGATTGCAACTTTAGCACTAGTATACACAGTACCATTATTTAGTTTCAAAGGTAACAATTTCTCATGGTAATGTATATGTTCTTTTGCAATATCAATTGTTATATTGTTCATATCAATTTGCACACACATACAGTTTTTAGCTAAACTAATTAAAAACAATGCATAACTAATTGAAATCATGTCGAAGAAAATTACAAAAATATATGAGTGAAAATCTAATATAAATATGCAGAAGAGAAAAAAATCATTGAAATATAATTTTTGTCATACGTGGACTTTTTATATTATGAAAAACAAAAAAATAATTGAAGAATTATAATAACTTTTGACTAATTTAAGATCAAATAAACTGTTTTTACATTTTTCTGTAAATAAAAATAATAATAATATATTTTTCATAATTTAAAGGCAGCAAATGTTAGTTTATATTTGAGTGCAAAAATGATTAATTTATATGCGTTTCATTTATACCCCACTAAACATTTTAAGTTTTGAAACGTATTATAAATGTTAATTTTAAGTGATAATACTAACTAAAATTTTTTAACATTCATTTAATGCTAAAAAATTGTTTAAACTTATTATGTACAAAATTGGTGTTCAGTTAACTTTTATTAAATGTATGTATTTCATTTTTATAAAATCATCTAATAAACATGGTTCTTAGAACGTCAAAATAATATTTGATAATCAACGTTTATATAATAATAATGTTAATATTGTTTTTTGTATGGATTTCAATTGAAAATAATATTAAGTTAGCAATCTATAAATATATCCAAAAATAATCACTTAACGCGCGCATTATAGGAGGTGGTGATAGTTATCGCTCATGACGAATATAAAGCGTCCTGTTTATAACAATTAACTGTAGAATATTATTTCTACAGAAAAAATATTAAATGTTAAATATTTTCAATTGTCTTGTAGTTTTTTTTACTCACAAGAATGTTGTGTCTTTTTTAAATATCATGGCAGTTAGAAACGTAAGATATTTTACAATATATTAGTATATTTGATGGCTACAGGCACTTGGTATATATGCTTAGTTTTTACGCAATAATTTATTAATAAGTTAAATGTTCTTTAAAATATTTTGAATTTTTTTGTTTTAGGTTTGATGCGAAGCTGAGAAGGTATTAATTTTACTATAATGTGTTTTTTTTTTTAATTTTTTTTTGTGACTGTGAACGTTCAATCTCAGCTCTCGCTGTATCAATTTTGATGAGCAATACGTCAAAAGATCACAAATCATATCTAGTCGAAAACATTACCCTCAAAAATTGAAAAAAAATTCCCTCATTCTTCGTAAATGGGGAAAATCCCCCAAAAAATTACATTTTTAAAAATCCCTAATTTTAGACATTTTTTCAATTTTTTTTTTACTTAAAACTGCCATAACTTTTTTAAAAATGACCGAATCAATACAATTTTTTTTTTTTATAGATACCTTAGATATTTACCTGTCATTTGATATATTTTTGTAAACATTTGATCCTTTATCTTTACACAGAAAGAGATTCAAAATGACAACTTTTTCACAAAAAATTAACTTTTTCAACATAACTTTTGAATATTTTTTAATAATAAATACTTTATATATACTTCTTTCATTCGACATATTTTTTTTTTAAATCGGACCTTTTCCCTTTATACAAGGGGGGTGCAAACCTTTTAAAATGCGTATAGAAAGCTGAACTTTTTCAACTTAACTTTTGAAAATGGTTCGGAAAGACTGACACTTTTATATATATCTTAAATTAAAGCTAATGTAATATACTTTAATTTGAAAAAAAAAAATTGACCTCTGGACTTGTCTTCATGGTGAAAATGACTACCGTATGCAAAAATATGCTATTTTTTTTGAAAAAATTCTTGATATTATATTTTACATTTTTTAACATTATGTGCTATAACTTTTTAAAAAATGCATGAATCAATTTTTAATATTTTGATATTTTTTAATAATAAGTACTTTACATATACTTCTTTCATTCGACATATTTTTTTTTTAAATCGGACCTTTTCCCTTTATACAAGGGGGGTGCAAACCTTTTAAAATGCGTATAGAAAGCTGAACTTTTTCAACTTAACTTTTGAAAATGGTTCGGAATGATTGACACTTTTATATATATCTTAAATAAAAGCTTACGTAATATACTTTGATTTAAAAAAAAAAAATTTGACCTCTGAACTTGCCTTGGTGGTGAAAACGGACATCAAAGTTAAAGAAAAACGTACGATCCGTGAAAAAATTCTCGATTTTATATTTTATATAACTTTTGGAAAAATGTATGGATTAATATTATTTTTTTATAATAAATATTTATATACCCCTTACATCTGGCACACTTTTTTTGTAAATCGGATCATATCCCTTTAACAAGAGGCGTCAAAACTTTAAACATGCGTATTGTTACTAAGATATTTTCAACTTAACTTTTGAAAATGATCCGGAAAGACTGACACTTTTATATTTATCTTAAATTAAAGCTTATGTAATATACTTTAATTTGAAAAAAAAAAATTTGACCTCTGGATTTGTCTTCATGGTAAAAATGACTACCGTATTCAAAATTTTGCTATTTTTGTGTTAAAATTCTGGATTTTGTATTTTATTTTATTTTAAAATACCTGATAAGGGGAGTACAAATTTTTATAAATATTATATAAATTAAAATTAATATAGCATAGAAAGTTAAACTGATTTAAATTTGTTTGCTTCTTTTAAGTCGAGAAAAATAACTTTGAAATTTAAACTAGCTTAAATAGCCAATTTTTTCAATCGATTGTAGCGACATACGGTTGCCGAGATGGTAAAACTTATATCTTACACGCTTGGGGTACGAGTTCCTGACCCACGTAAGGCAATGAATTTTTTTGCAATATTTTTTAATTCTTTTTAAGTTAGTATAAATTTTTAACTCGTTTGATTTTTATCTCATTTAGATTCAATAACTTCAATAAAGATCAAGGATCCCATCATTTTAGTCGCCCCTTGTAAGAAGAAATTTCTTATTCGTATTAAAATTATTTTACTATATTTTAAGTTTTAGCTTCGATGCAAAGCTGAGAAGATATATTTTTATGAAACACTATCTACAGATTTGCATCGAAGCGTTTCTTATGATAGTGATTTTAATCACTGTCAGATATCATCTATACTTGTCCCATCTATGCCTCGTCCACACTGTGCCTCGATCCCACTGTGCTACCGTTTTTTTTTTAAATCGGACCATTTCCCTTTATACAGGAGGTTTCAAACCTTTAAAAATGCGTATAGAAGGTAGAACTTTTTCAACTTAACTTTTGAAAATGTTCCGGAAAGACTGATACTTTTATATATACCTTAAATTAAAGCTTATGTAATATATTTTATTTTGGAAAAAAAAAATTGACCTCCGGACTTTGTGGTGAAAACGGACATCAAAATTAAAGAAAAACGTACGATTTTTTTCAGTTAAGCAAAGCGACATACGATTGCTGAATTGGTAACACTTGTGTCTCACGTGCTTGGGGTACAAGGTTCCAACTCGCGTATAGTAAGGAATTTTTTGCAATTTTTCTTAATTCTTTTTAAATTAGAATAAATTTTCAACTCTTTTGATTTTTATCTCTTTTAGATTCAATAACTTCAATAAAGATCACTGTAGTCGCCCCTTGTGAGAAAAACTTTCTTATTCATATTAAAATTATTTAACTATATTTTAGATTTTAGCTTCGATGCATAGCTGAGAAGGTATTTTTTTGTGACTATCATTTATTTTCTCTGCACTCACTTGACTTACTTTTTTCAGCGATACGTAAAATTATTAAAATTCGTAATTATTGACGAAACACACTTGATGATACTACAAAATTATATCCTTTTATTTTGTAATTTAATAATTATTCTACTCTATTTGTGTGTGCTACTATTTGACTATAATATTCTACATTTTTTGGTAACATGTTGCTATATAAATCATTTCTAAAAAAAATTATTGTTAATTTTTCCTGAATAAACAATGGATTTTTACAATTATAATCAAATTTTATAATATGCTCTATTAAGTAGATCGTTTTAATAATAATAATAATATTAACATTAAAACTTAGAAGTGATAAAAAAAGTCTAATTGCACATTTGAAAACATCGCAAAAAGTTGATTTAGAAAAATATATTATTGTTTCTGGTGAAAGTTCATTGTAGTCTAGTGTATAAAACTCATAACTTTGTTATAAATAAAAAATATTTTTTATTGAAAAGTATTGGATCAAGCCCTTTAAATTTTTATAATATCTCCGTAAAAATTACAATATCAAATTATTAAATATCAATTTCATACTACGTTGAATTGCTTTAATAGATATCTATTCATAAATTATACTAATAAATCATCTACTAATTAGGAATAAAGATTGCTTTTAGTATAATAATGCTTTTAGTATAATCAACCAATTTCTTAAAATTAAAAACTATCTACAGAATTGCATCAAAGCGTTTTTTATGATAGTGATTTTAATCACTGTCAGATATCATCTATACTAGTTATCAACTATACCACGCCACCATTGTGCAGCGACATTGCTGTGTTGAGTGTTTTTCATATGTATACATATACAAACTTTATTTTTTGTCATTGGTTATAAGTTTGGTAGTGGAATAATTATTTATTTTTTACTTGAATATGTTAATAGTCAACGAGTGTAGTTTTTGAAATAATATTCTAAACATTTAAATGAAACTATAGAGTTTATTGTAAAATACATTTTTAAACTTATTATAATACCATATTTAAAAATTATTGTTGTTTAAATATTTTTTTAATCCAATCATTCTTATTAATTCATTAAAAATCTTTAATGATTACTTTAAAACATATATATTTCAACATTTTGTAGGGTAAAAATTATATATCAAATTAATAAATATAGCGATAAAATTACAATTAAAATTAGACCATAAAAATTCTAAATAATAAGTACATTAAGAAGATTTTTATACAAAACGTTTATATAAAATTTGTTTTTCATTATATATATTATCATTAAAGAAATTGATGTGTCAGAAAAAGGTTATGAACTAATAAGAAGAGCACATAGATCTATTTAAATAATACTTGTAAAAGACATATCAAAAGGAGGGTTGTATCATTATTTAAATGTAGGAACATTTAAATCAATACTTTGTAAGAATTCTAAACTATTTTATTAATCCATTTAATAATTCTTAAACATATATTCCATAATTTAATTGCATATTATCTAGTGAATTAAGTTCTATTAATGACGTATTATAAAACATTTATTTCAACATTTCATAGGGTAAAAATTACATATCGAATTAATTAATAAAGCGATAAAAATACAATTAAAATTAAACCACAAAAAAGTATATAATAAGTACATTAAGAATATTTTTATATATAATGATTATATAAAATTTATTTTACATTATTTATATTATTGTTAAAAAAATCAATGTTTGGAAAGTGGTTACATGATCTAATAGGAGGAGCACACAGGAATATTTATATAATATTTATTTTTTTATGCAAAAGGTAGAGCAAAAGGTGGTTGTATCTTAAGTGAAATGTAAGAACAATTACACCAATGCTTTTTAAGAATTCTGAACCGTTTTTTTTAGCCCATTTAATAATTCTTAAACATATATCACACATTTTAATTGCCTATTATCTAGTGCTTTAAGTCCTATTAATCACTTGATATATTCTATATTCCTATTATTACCAATTTAAATTTTCAAAAGTAAAAAAAACTTTTTTTATGGTTTCTAATTTACTAATGAGATCAACCTTATCAGAATTATATATATATTCACAATTTGTTTAACATTATTAGTATTGTAAAAAATAAAAATACTATATTTTTTAATTAGAATATTATAAAAGCGTTTTAGGTAGTGTATCAATACAGTCAGTATTTTTATGATTTTTTAGACGGAAAGAATATTACATTAAAAGTGTTAATAAATCAATAAAACAATCATTTTTTTCAAGTTTTGAACATATTTTTTTCTTACGTAAGTTATTTTTGACTTTTATATTATAGTTTTAGCGTTATTTCTATTTCGTAACCAATAAAAATTTAACGTTTATTTGATTTAATATTAATAATATCAAAAATTCATAAATTTTCTTAATAAAAAAAGTGCTTATGTCATTTTTCTGTTGAATTTTTCAAATAAATTAGTATACAAAAATACAATTTATATTATATAGCTAAAATATCTTAAAGAAAATTTTGGTGGTAATATAAAATTAAAACTACATATATTAATAATGAAAATCTAATATAGAAAAATCAAGCTTTCCAGTCTCTTATTGAAGCTAATAAATTTTCTTAGGAAATAATATTAGCTAATTATAAGTATAGAAACTATTGCACTATTTTTATAAAGATAGACTTACAAAATAATGATATCAATATTTTAAACAATTATTAAATTAACTATTTATTATAATCTTTATAACATTTATAATCAATGCCTTAACTACAGAAATTTTAATTGAGTATTATAAATTATTATTCAGTAATTATATAAAAATTATAACATTGTAACATACATTTGAGCTGCTCAACTTGAAAAATATTGTAAAGTTAACTTAAACTTACGTTAATTTCATTTCACATTAATATAACGTCAATTATGGAAAAAATTATATATGAAAAAAAAAACTATTTGGAATTATTAAATAACAAATAAAACACAGTTTTTAGATATTCATAAAGATAGTTTTAAATTTAACTCATTAGTATTTTCTGAATCTATAAAAAAAAAAAAAAAATTATCATTAGTCATACTGAAAGTATTTTCTTACGAACAATAACATACTATATAACATAAAAATACTATGATGTACTCATTTTACCTCTTAACATTTCTGCATGACATTCTATAGAAGAATAAAATTGATCCTGCAGCAGGCACGTAGACATGGGTGGCCCAGGGCCGGCCCCCCCCAAATTTAAAATTCAATTATATTTACGAATTATCAATAACGTACTAGGCCATATATACATTGAAATTATTATTAATTTGTGATTAATATTGAGTAATACAGTTATTATTATAGCTGTATTTTCATTTTTATATTCATAGAAAACGTTATTTGTAAAAGATAACGTTCTGGATGTAATAATAAATGGAATAACAGTAACTCAAACGTGGTTGTAGATAATTTTTTTTAACTCTGATCCAACAAATGATAACAAACTACCAAGTATCATTGATACTTATTGAAATATGCATTGATTAGAATCTAGTTGATTACAAAATTCGATAGAGTATTACTCTATGAAAAAGTTTTTGATAAATCTTATCTTTAATCTGTTTTTTTTTTATAATTTAGTAGTTATAATAGATAATTTGTTTGTTTTTGTTAATTTTTAATTTGTATATAATAGTAATGAAAATATGACTAAAAAAAGGTAGGAATTGTTTTTAATTTAAAATAAAATAAATTTTACATTGTTTATAATTTATATTTATTTTCAAAATTATTTATAACTTATTTGTTATTAGTATTTAGGTATAAATTATTTTTTCTTAATGGCTTAAAAGTTGAAAAATGAAATCAGCTTTTGTGCACATCATTATTTTATTAGCTTCGATGCAAAGCTGAGAAGGTATTGGTTTTACTATGATGTGTTTTTTTTTTTGTGTCTGTTACCACTTTTTCTTAGCTCTCACCAAACCGATGTCTTTCAATGATACGTCAAAAGATCACAAATCGAATCTAGTCGAAGACATTACCCTCAAAAATTGATATAACTTTTTTAAAAATAACCAAATCAATATAATTTTTTTTTTTTGTATATAGATGCTTGATGTCTTTACCTATCATTTGGTATATTTTTTTTGTAAATCTGACACTTAACCTGCCTACAGTAAGGGATTTAAAATGACAACTTTTTTACAAAAAATTTACTTTTTCANTACAGGGGGGGATTTAAAATGACAACTTTTTCACAAAAAATTTACTTTTTCAACTTAAATTTTGAAAGTGTTCCGGAAAGTCTGACACTTTTATATATATATTAAATTAAAGCTAATGTAATCTACTTTATTATGTAAAAAAAAAATTTCGGACTTTATTTTGTCTTCACGGTGAAAATGGCTACCAAATGCTATTATTGTGTGAAAATTCTCGATTTTATTTTTTATATTTTTTACTTTATAATGCTATAACTTATTGAAAAGCGTATGAATCAACACAATTTTTTTATGAGAAATAATTTTTTAATAATCCCTTTTTCATTCGACATACTTTATCTTAATCAAGATATTAATAAGGATCTAGCAGATCATGTAGCTTTTAGATAATCCAACAATTTTTTAAAATTAAACACTATCTAAAGATTTGCATCGAAGCGTTTTTTTTTTTATAGTGATTTTAATCACTGTCAAATATCATTATACTTGATCCAACTATACCACGTCACCACTGTGCCGCGACCCCCCTATGCTGGGTTTTTTATAATACTGTAATAATTAGTATACTTTATACGAAAACAATTTGTTTTTAACCAACCAATGGTAAAATTTTGAACTTGTAAGATTTATAGAATGGGATACTGTCTAAGGAGGAGTAGAGGGAGTCCCCACAAGCATTTCATGAGAAACAAATTATGGAAAATGATACAAGGGCCCAAAATTGTTGGCCCCTCCAATAAATATTTTCTGGCTACGTGCCTGTCCTGCAGTATGATTAAATAACTTGTTAAATCTACATTTGGAGTTTTAAATTTAATTATATTACTGTAATGGAGTTGTTTAAAAATTTTGTATATTAATGCATCCTCTGGCATCGTTACCAAATTTATACAGTTTATAAAACATTCCAAAAAAACATTACTAAAATTAATGAAATTATTTATATCTGCATTCAGTTTTTGAGATTGATTATATTTATTAAACATTAAAATTATTTGTTCTCTACGTAAACGATAATCACTAAATTTTTCTGATAGAAAATTGAAAAAATGATGGGGTCATTCCATGTGAAATCACATGAAAGAAAAAAAAATTATCATTAGTCATACTGAAAGTATTTTCTGATAAACTATATAACATTAAAATACTATAATGTATTCTACTATTTACCTTTTAACATTTTTGCATGACATTTTATACTAGAATAGAACATATGCTGTAGTATCTTTAAATAACTTGGTATATCATGTGTAGATTTTAATTTAGTTAAATTTCTGCTTTGGAGTAGTTCAAAAATTTTGGTTATATATGGATCTCTTGGCATCGTTACCAACCTCATACACATTATAAAACGTGTTAAAAAATCATTGCTAAGTTTAATGAATTTTTGTTTATCTTTTTTCAGTTTTTGAGATTGGTTATATTCATTAAACATTAAAATTATTTGATTAATCGGATCTTGACGTAAACGATAATCACTAAATTTTTTTGATAGAAAAATGAAAAAAGTTGTGGCCTTATTAAAATGGTCAATAAACTTCTCGTGATCATCTAGTATGTTGTTTAACGTTTTTACTGTAAATTGACTATATTGAATTAATGCTGTAATTCCAACACTTTCAATAACATTTCTAAGCCAAACTATGGCTTCCATTGGATCGTTATATTCTTGTATGGCTTGATCAGTAATTTCTTGTAAGGTTCTTCCAACAGCAGGCGTGCGGTAAAATAAACGAGGAGCTGAACCTAAATATTCTTTATTCAAAGGTACAGGATTATCAATGTCGTCATTTAGGTCGATTTCTTCGAAGTTTTTGACTGAAACTTGATCACTAGTGTACACAGTACCCTTATCTATTTTCAATAGTAACAATTTCTTGTGGTTATGTATATGTTTTTTGGCGACTTCAAGTGTTATATTCTTTATATTAATTTGCTCACACGTACAGATCTTAGGTAAACAAATTAACAAAAATGCGTAATTAATTAAAATCATGTCGAAAAAAATTACAAAAAACTATGAGTGAAAATCTAATGTAGATATGCTGAAGAGAAAAAATTGTTACAATATAATTTTTGACATACGTGCACTTTTTAAATTGAATAAACTGTTTTTACATTTTTCTGCAAATAAAAATACTAATAATATATTTTTCATAAATTAAAGGCAGCAAACACTAGTTTATTTTTGAATTTATAAATGATTACATTTTGGCGTTTCATTTATACATTACAATAAGATCGCAAAAAAAAAAAAATTAATTAATAAATAGTATAATGAATTTATATAGATATTAATTTTTCCCCCTTTATTTTTTATGTTTTAGATCACACACAACACTGAAGACTAGTCGTTAAATAATTTCATAAATAGAAACACATTGTATTGAATTAAAATTAAATTAGTTAATGAATAAATAGTTGCTGAATAAGTAGACAAAAATATTAAACGAATTATTCACCAATTGTTGAAATATGTAATAAACAAAAATTAAAAAACCCAACACAGGGGGGTCGCGGCACAGTGGTGACGTGTTATAGTTGGATCAAGTATAATGATATCTGACAGTGATTAAAATCACTATCAAAAAAAAAACGCTTCGATGCAAATCTTTAGATAGTGTTTAATTTTAAAAAATTGGTGGATTATTCCAAAAGCTTCATAAACTGCTAGTTCCTTATTAATATCCTGATTAAGATAAAGTATGTCGAATGAAAAAGGGATTATTAAAAAATAGTATTTCCCATAAAAAAATTATATTGATCAATACACTTTTCAATAAGTTATAGCATTATAAAGTTAAAATGTAAAAAATAAAATTGAGAATTTTAACACAATAATAGCATTTGGTAGCCATTTTCACCGTGAAGACAAAATAAAGTCCCAAATTTTTTTTTTACAAAATAAAGTAGATTACATGAACTTTAATTTAATATACATATAAAAGTGTCAGACTTTCCGGAACACTTTCAAAATTCAAGTTGAAAAAGTCAATTTTTTGTGAAAAAATTGTCATTTTGAATCCCCCCCTGTAGGCAGGTAAAAAGTCAGATTTATAAAAAAATATACCAAATGATAGGTAAAGACATCATGCATCTACAAAAAAAATAATTATTTTGATCCATACATCTTTCAAAAAGTTATAGCATTATAAAGTTAAAAATATAAAAAAGAATTTTTTTACAAAAATCGTATTTTTTTTAATGTCTGTTTTCACAATGAAGTGAAATAAAGTTCGAAATTTTTTTTTACCATTATAAAGTATATTACAGTAGCTTTAATTTAAGATATATATAAAATTGTCAGACCTTGCAGAACACTTTCAAAAGTTAAGTTGAAAAAATTAATTTTTTGTAAAAAAGTTGTCATTTTAAATCCCCCCCTGTGGGCAGGTAAAAAGTCAGATTTATAAAAAATATATGTTTATTTTTAAAAAAGTGACGGCAGTTTTTAGTAAAAAAAATTGAAAAAATTTGGAAAATTAGCCATTTTTAAATTTGTAATTTTTTCGGAGGTTTCCCCCATTTACGGGGAACAAGGGAATTTTTTTCAATTTTTGAGGGTAATGTCTTCGACTAGATACGATTTGTGTTATTTTGACGTATCATTGAAAAGAAATCGGTTCGATGAGAGCTGAGAAAAAGTGGTTACAGACAAAAAAAAAAAAAACACATCTTAGTAAAACCAATACCTTCTCAGCTTCGCATCGAAGCAAAAATAATGTAATATTAATAATGATGTAATGGTAAGGATGAAGTATGAGGATAAATAGTATCTGGTGGTCGAACTGTGTTGAGTTATCAAATAATAAAACATCCTTATCTTACTCATTTTTGTTTATTATGTAAATTTTTAAGGAGTAAAACTGCAAATAAATAAACATTCGCACTTACCTTTATTTCCTTTCGTAGTTGACTGAATTAATCTTATGGTGATTTTCGCTCCAGTGTTTACAATCGTTTATAAAATCTTGCGTTTATTGCGATTAATTAGCCATTATATATATATTGGATTGAAAAGGATTCTCTTTAATGGGACCTGCGACTATTATGATTTGTTTTTTTTTTATACTTTTTAAATTATACTATGTTTGTACTAATAATATTTTATATGAATTCCCTATATCGATATCGATATTCACAAAATTCTCTCTTAACTCGTCAAATTATAATTTTAAGAATATTAAGTAAAATTAAAACTATATTAAAAATATTATTAATTTAAAAACTAAAAAATATTAAAAATATTTAACTCAAAAATGATGCAGACCAAGGCGAAAATACGCCTGATTGGAGCTGATATATTTTTTCTCAAAAAGTGTATTAAGTTCCATATGACTCAGAAGTTTGCCAGATTACCAAGTAAGTCAAGCAATAATAATATTCATTTTTTCAAGTCAATAAATTATGCTCAGGAGAAGTTTATTAAGTTAGAAAAAAAAATTAACAAGACTGTGGTGGCCCAGCGTTTCTCAGCGTAGAGCCTTGACTGATGCAGATATAGTTAACCTCGTTTATATATATATATATATTAAATATTATTTCAATACACCTTTTACTATCCTTTACGCCAACTGCCTACGCGTTGCCGAGAGGTAATTGTCCTTTATGGCCGGCCAGTACAAAGGCAAAAGTATTACTGCTAAGACTAATTTTTTCTAATCACAAATTACGCTTCTTCACTCTTCTTGGTACATTTAAGGCTGTCCAGATATGAAGGGCACAATAATATTTAAAACCTATACAAAATACAAACTATATATATTTGTTATAAGGATATAGATGTGTTAAGCTTAATATAAAAGGGCACAAAAACTCTCTTACTTCGACTCACTCCTTCTTCACTTTATGATCTTTCAACAAGTGCCTTTGTACATATTATAAATTCACAAAAAGTCGAAGTAAATTTATTTTCAACGTTGCTTCCAACATTACAAAGGTAAAAATACATTTCACAATATGTAGAAACGCATATTATAAGAGAGGGCTGCAATCGTTTGCGTGCGGTCGGTTTAGCTGTGATCTTATGTACGAGTTTTGGACGACCGGCAGCTATCAACGATATCAATCCCATCCAATTATCTTTATTTTTTTGGATTTTTATGTTCTTTTCTGAGCAATATTTTCAAAAAATAAATTAAAAATAACTATTTTAACAGAGAAAATACAGGTTTTTAGAGCTAATCATTTGGTGACTGGCTACAAAAAGAATTGCGAATTTAATTAGAGTAACTATTATTATGTCTATTGCGTATATCACTGTATTTTAATAGGTTTCATTGGAAACACATCAGTGGTGTTAGTGATAGTGACTGATTGTTGTGCTAAACACACCATCTACTCTAATTAATTTAGTATAAAAACGAATTCTTTATTCCTATTATGTGTGAAGATATTTAATTATTAAAAACATATTTTAAACATAATAATACAGTATTGCACTATATTGAACTTTGTACTACTAATATAGATATTTTAAATAGACAATATCAGTAAAAGAAATAAGTAAATTTAAAATAACGAAGTAACTTAATAAGAACAATATATTATTTTAAATGAACAAAAAAAGTATACTACATATAGAAATTAAACACAGTATTTATTATATTTATTTATATTATGAAAAAACTGTAAAGTAATTGAAGAATTATAATAACTTTTGATTAATTTTAAGATCAAATAAACTGTTTTTACATTTATATGTAAATAAAAATACTATTAATATATTTTTCATAAGGTAAAGACAACACATAATAGTCTATATTTGAGTGCGAAAATGTGTCGTAATATGCACAATGCTCTGCTTTACGCATCTTCCATTTATCAATATTTGATATTTAATTAATAATATAATTATATTTAATTTAATTTAATCAATATTTAATGCCAATTGTATACAAACAAATAATTAATTTATCTGTTATAACATATACACTGTTGTACACTAGCTATTATATATGTTTATACGTGTTAAATTGTTTATTGTATACTATGCATCTTATCTTATAATAACTATCATGTTATGTTCAAATTTTATACAATAAACTGAAAATCACTAAAAGCGCTGACGGCAACAACCCATGAAGGGGGTAATTAAAAATAATATAAAAAGGCTTAGTTCTGCTTGCACATTAGTGAGCGAGTGTGCCAGCGAGCGACTCAGTTCTCTCTTCTTTTTGAAGATCTGAATTCAATAAGGAATTCAGAATTCTTCAGCCCTGATTTATTTTGAGCAAACTAGCCGCGACCCCGTGTTGTCGTCGGTACATTAAAAGCGATGTTGAATACAATTATTTTGCGTTAACACTTTATTTATTTAAAAGAGACAGTATAAATCTTTACGCAAACCTTGACGATCTTTGTATAAGCCAAATAAAAGAAGTAAGTAAATTTATATTAACCCAATTATTTAGAAATACTAATCTGAGTAAGGAATGATAAAGCAATAGATCACATAATTATATTCAAACTTTATTAATTGTTACTGACTAGTTCGTACCTTATACATTACATGGTATTCGTGAGATGGCCACCGCCTCTTCATTACCTAAAAGAGTTTAAAAACCTAATGTGATTTCTACTGTGTATATAAACATTTCGACTGGATATTCGTGAGATGGCCACCGCCTCTTCGTTGCCTCAGTGTATTATTTCAGGTACTTACCAGTTATGTCATTTGTAATATCTCTATAGAGAAACTTTAATAATTTCTTTTTATATCTACTTGTCTTTATTGTTCTAAACCCTCGGACTTTACAACCCCCATAGAACCTTGTTGCTCCTGAATTGACCAAATCCCCAAATATCCAACCTTGGTCATATAAATCCCCTAACATCAGTTTTTGCTTATTTTTGTATTACTACAAATGACTAATTTATAGGCGTTTCATTTATATCCCACTAAACATTTTAAGTTTTGAAACGTATTATAAATGTTCATTTTGAGTGATAATACAAACTTAAATTTGTTAACATTCATTTGATGTTTTGAACATATTTTTTTCTTTACGTAAATGTTTTATTAGTATTATATTTTTAGCATTATTTCTATTTTGTAACCAATAAAAATTTAACGTTTAATTAATTTAATATTAATAGTATCAAAAAATCATTAACTTTTTTAATAAAAAAAAAGTACTGTCATTTTTCTGTTGACTTTTCCAAATAATTTAGTATACAAAATCAAATTTATATAGTTTAAATTTTATAGTTAAAATAATCTTAAAGAAAACATTGGAAATAATATAAAATCAAATAGATATTTTAATGATAAAAATCTATTATAAAAAAATTAATTATTCCAGTTGACGTTGATACTAATAAATTTATCTTTGGATATAGTGTTAGCTAATAGAAACTATTAAATTTTTTTTATAAAAAAAAATTGTACAAATTAAAGCTTACAATATTTGTAAATAATTATTTAATTAATTATTTTTCATAAACTCTATAGTATTTATAATCAATGACTTAACTACAGGAATTTTAATTGAGAATAATAAATTATGATTCAGTAATTATATAAAAATTATTGCTTTGTAACATAGAGTTTAGTTACTCAACGTGAGCAAAATTGTTAAGTAAACATAAACTTACTTTTATTTTATATGATAAAATAAAAATATTTGGTATTTTTGAAAAAATAAAAAATACAGTTTTTAGATATTTATAAATCTTATAATTTTATTTTAATATTTTTTTTTTAATTTCAATCATCGAAAATTTATAATTAATCAATCACTTAAGATATCTTAGATTTTAGGAAGTATTTTTTTACGAACAATAACAGTGTTTTATTTTAACATACTATATAACGTTACCTTTTAAGATTTTTGCATTACATGCTATGTAAGAATAGAATACATCTAGCAGTAAGTCATAAAAATATGATAAATTTTCACTCTTAGACATTAATATATTTATATGATTGCTATTAATAGTAGAAAACAAATTATTTATAGTTAAACTTTTTTTCATCTCTACCAAAAGTGTACAGCCTTTAAAACGCTCGGAAAAATCATTGCTAAGTTTAATGAATTTTTGTTTATCTTCTTCCAATTTTGGTGATTGGTTATATTCATTAAAAATTAAAATTATCTGATCAATCGGTTCTCTACGTAAACGATAATCTCTAAATTTTTCTGATAGAAAATTGAAAAATGTTAAGGCTTCATTACAATGATGACTAAACTTATCGTGTTCTTTTGGTATGCGATCTATCATATATGCTGTAAAAACACAATATTGAACTGACATTGTAATTCCCATGCTTTCAATAACATTTCTAAGCCAAACTATGGCTTCCATTGGATCGTTATATTCTTGTATAGCTTGATCCGTAATTTGTTGTAAGGTTCTCCCAACAGCAGGCGTGCGATAAAATAAACGAGGAGCTGAACCTAAATATTCTTCATCCAAAGGTACAGGATTATCAATGTCGTCATTTAGATAGCTTTCTTTGAAGTTTTTGATTGAAACTTTAGCACTAGTATACACAGAACTGTTCCGTATTACAAAATGTAACATTGTCTCGTGGTTATGTATATGTTCTCTTGCAATATCAATTGTTATATTGTTCATATCAATTTGCACACACGTATAGTTTTTAGCTAAACTAATTAACAACAATGCGTAAATACTTAAAATCATGTTAAAGAAAATTAAAATTAATCTGAGTGAAAATCTAATATAAATATGAAGAGAAAAAATCATTAAAACATAATTTTTGACATATGCGGACTTTTTATATCATGAAAAAACTATAAAATAATTGAAGAATTATAATAACTCTTGATTAATTTTAAGATCAAATAAACTGTTTTTTCATTTTTATGTAAATAAAAATATACTATTAATATATTTTTCATAAAGTAAAGACAACACATAATAGTTTATATTTGAGTGCAAAAATGACTAATTTATATGCGTTTCATTTATATCCCACTAAACATTTTAAGTTTTAAAAGATTTAAGTTGTTTAATACAATAGTTCTAATTAGTTTATTAAAATTCTTTAATAGTTACTTTAAAACATTTATTTCAACATTTCATAGGGTAAAAATTACAAATCGAATTAATTAATATAGCGATAAAAATACAATTAAAATTAAACCACAAAAAAGTATATAATAAGTACATTAAGAATATTTTTATATATAATGATTATATAAAATTTATTTTACATTTATATATTATTGTTAAAGAAATCAATGTTTGGAAACTGGTTACATGATCTAATAGGAGGAGCACACAGGAATATTTATATAATATTTATTTTTTTATGCAAAAGGTAGAGCAAAAGGTGGTTGTATCTTAAGTGAACTGTAGGAACATTTACACCAATGCTTTTTAAGAATTCTGAACCGTTTTTTTTAGCCCATTTATTATATTTTTTCATTTTTTTTTACTTAAAATTGCCATAACTTTTTTAAAAATGACCAAATCAATATAATTTTTTTTTTTATATAGATACCTTAGATAATTACCTATCATTTTATATATTTTTGTGAACATTTGACCCTTTAACAGCCCACAGGATGGGGTTTCAAAATGGTAACTTTTTTACAAAAAATTAACTTTTTCAACTTAACTTTTGAAAATGTTCCGGAAAGACTGACAATTTTATATATACCTTAAATTAAAGCTAATGTAATATACTTTAATTTGAAAAAAAAAAATTTGACCTCTGGACTTGTCTTCATGGTGAAAATGACTACCGTATGCAAAAATATGCTATTTTTGTGAAAAAATTCTTGATATTATATTTTACATTTTTTAACATTATGTTGCTATAACTTTTTAAAAAATGCATGAATCAACTTTATTCTTTAATGATAAATACTTTATATATACTTCTTTCATTCGACATACTTTTTTTTAAAATCGGACCATTTCCCTTTATACAGGGGGGGTGCAAACCTTTTAAAATGCTTTACAAAAAATTAACTTTTTCAACTTAACTTTTGAAAATGTTCCGGAAAGACTGACACTTTTATATATATGTTAAATTAATGCTTATGTGATATACTTTAATTTGAAAAAAAAAAATTTGACCTCTGGACTTGTCTTCATGGTGAAAATGACTACCGTTTGCATAGAAAAACGTACGNCTTGTCTTCATGGTGAAAATGACTACCGTATGCAAAAATATGCTATTTTTGTGAAAAAATTCTTGATATTATATTTTACATTTTTTAACATTATGATGCTATAACTTTTTAAAAAATGCATGAATCAATTCTATTTTTTAACAATAAATACTTTATATAATCCTCTTTCATTCAACGTCCTTTTTTTTTAAATCGGACATTTTCACTCTATACAGGGGGGGTGCAAAGTTTTTAAAATGCGTATAGANGGGGGGGTGCAAACCTTTTAAAATGCGTATAGAAAGTAGAACTTTTTCAACTTAACTTTTGAAAATGTTCCGGAAAGACTGACACTTTTATATATATCTTAATTTAAAAATTATGTAATATACTTTAATTTAAAAAAAAAAATTTGACCTCTGAACTTGTCTTCGTGGTGAAAACGGGCATCAAAGTTAAAGAAAAACGTACGATTTCCGTGAAAAAAATCTCGATTTTATATGTTATATTATTTAATTTATATTTTATATAACTTTTGGAAAAATGTATGGATCTATATTATTATTTTTTTATAATAAATATTGATATACCCCTTTCATCTGGCACGCTTTTTTTGTAAATCGGATCATACCCCTTTAACAAGGGGGGTCAAAACTTTAAACATGCGTATTATTACTAAGATATTTTCAATTTAATTTTTGAAAGTATTCCGGAAATACTGACACTTTTAAATATATCTTAAATACAGCTTATGTAATATACTTTAATGTGAAAAAAAAAAATTTGACCTCTGGATTTGTCTTCATGGTGAAGTCGAGAAAAATTACTTTGAAATTTGAACTAGCTTAAATAGCCTATTTTTTCACCCGACTGTAGCAACATACGGTTGCTGAGTTGGTAAACTTACGTTTTACACGCTTGGGGTACGAGGTTCCAACCCGCGTATGACAATAAATTTTATGCATTTTTTTTAAGTTAGTATAAATTTTTAACTCATTTACATTCAATAACTTCAATAAAGATCAATGATCCCATCACTTTAGTCGCCCCTTGCAAGAATAAATTTCTTATTCGTATTAAAATTATTTTACTATATTTTAAGTTTTAGCTTCGATGCAAAGCCGAGAAGATGTTTTTTTGTGAATATCATTTATTTTCTCTGCTCTAACTTGACCTACTTTTTTCAACGATACGTCCAATGACTACAATTCGTATCTAGTTGAAGATATTACTCTCAAAAATTGAAAAAAAAATTCTAATTTATCAATTAAACAGTTAGTTATTACATCGTCTCCATAAAGACAATTAAAATCATTAATTTCTAATGTTTTCAAAATATTTATTAACGAATGAAGTTTGATATGATAGGTTTCAACTACAAAATTAAATCATTTTACTTTGTAATTTAATAATTTTATTACTCTGTTTGTGTGTGCTACTATTAGACTATAATATTCAAATTTTTTTCTAACGTGTTGCTATATAAATCATTTCTAAAAAAAATGATTGTTTTTTCTCCTGAATTAACAATTGATTTTTACAAATATAATCAAATTTTATAATAAACTCAATTGAGTAAATCTTTTTAACAACTTTGTTTTGATTGGTACATTTAGTTAAAGTAAATCATTAAAATTAATTAAGTTCTCAATATTTCAATTATAGAATCTTTTCAACAAACAACAAAAGTTCCTAGGAAATTATTACTATTACTTCTATTTAAGTTATCTATTACCATAAAAATGCAAAAAAATATTGAGCTTTTCTGATAAATTTACAATAAATAGTAATTATAAAACTTTCTGACTGCATATTGATCTTAACGATACAATTTTTTTAATTGTCATAAAATTTTCTATTTAATTATGTCAATGTCAAACTTACCAATTGAGCTAAAAGTTATGGTAAAATAAATTTTTTTTTTTTTTTATAAACATTTACAACAATCAACTTTAAACGATTAACAAAATTGGTTAAATATGTCATTTTCCTTATTTTTAACTTATTAATAATCAAATTAATATTAAATATTATATCAAATCAGTATTAATTTAAAACAATTTTTTTTGTTCTTAATTATTTTTTTTTATATGTAAAAACTATTTTTTAATAATATTAAAACTTAGAAGTTATAGAAAAAGTCTAATTGCACATTTTAAAACATCGCGAAAAGTTGATTTAGAATAGTATATTTTTGTTTCTGATGGAAGTTCCTTGTAGTCCAGTGTATAAAACTTATAACTTTGTTAATTGTTATAACTTTATCAAAAATGACCAAATCAGTATATTTTTTTTTATTTAGATGCATGTCTTTATCTATCATTTGGTTTTTTTTATAAATCTAACCCTTTACCTGCCCACAAGAGGGATTCAAAATATTAACTTTTTTTTTTTTAGTTAAAGTAAATCATTAAAATTAATTCAGTTCTGGATATTTCAATAGTAGAATCTTTTTAAATATCAAAAATTACTTAGAAATGATTACTATGATTTCTATTTAAGTGTTCTATTACGATAAAAATGCAAAAAATAATGAGTTTTTCTGATAAATTTACAATAAATAATAATTATAAAACTTTCTGACTGCATATTAATCTTAAAAATAACATTGTTTTAATTCTCATAAAATTTTCTATTTAATGATTCATTCTAGTCAACGAAGGAGTAATTTTGCAGAATAGCAGAAAAAATTCCCAACAAACTTTTTTTTTTTTTGTTTTAATTAGGCAATTGGTGGATTATTCCAAAAGCAACATCAACTCTTATTTCTTTAATTATATCATGATTAGTAGTTCTTTGATTTTAAAATATAATATTTGAATATATACTAATTATAATTATTAAATTTAGTATGAAATTGATATTTAATATTGTAATTTAAACGGAGAAATTATAAAAATAATAAAGAAGTTATATTTTGCTTTACTTTTACGTGTATAAAAATTTAAAGGGCTTGATACAATAATTTTCAATAAAAACTGTTTGTTACTATAAAAAAATGCACTGGACTACAAGGAACTTTCATCAGAAGCAAAAATATACTTTTCTAAATCAACTTTTCGCGTTGTTTTCAAATCTGCAAGTAGACTATTTCTATCACTTCTAATTTTTTATATTATTACTAATTATATATATAAAATAATAATTAAAAGAAAAAAAAATTTGTTTTCAAATTATTACTGATTTGATTTTTAATATGTTAAAAATAATCAGTCCAAATTTTCAATTTTAACCTATTTTTTTGGTTCTTTAAAGTTGATGAAAAATTTTTGATAAAGATTTATGAAAGTTTATAGTAAAATAAATTGAATATATTACCATAACTTTTAGCTCAATTACAAGTTTAAAATTGACATCTAGGCCAGTCAACAAAGGAAAAATTGCGGAAAAAATTTTGTTTTTTTAAAAGTTGAATTAAAATATGTATAATGACATACTAATAGTCCTCAAGATTGGAATTGAGCTTTTTTTTTAAATCCTCGCAAAAGTTCAAAAATATGAGCTTTCTTAATTTTCTCAAAAAAAAATATTTAACTTACAAAAAAAAGTTTCGCACAAAAGTTGTTTAAAAGACAATTATAAATAAAAATATAATCTTATATTTTTTCATTTAAACAAATATTTTTCGAGTTACATTACATTTAATATGAGTAATAAAATTTATAT